TGAAAATACAAGGAAAATATTTAGATCCCAAGTGCTCTGTTTTCCATCAATTCATTCTTATAAAATGCGTTTTAGAGGCACTGGATCTGAGTGGAAATTTCAAATGTGTGTTTTATTATATTATTATTAATTATAATCATCATCATAATTACCATTATTGTTTCATCAAGGTATAGTTTAAATATTACAAATATCCTTTGTTAATGTTCAGGTCAGTAGTTTTAATAAACTTACAGGCTTGTATGACCATTCCACAGTTCTGTTTTCAAATTTTCCACTATCATAAATTTTCCTAGAAATGGCTCATCTAAACGTTTTATGTCTGTTGAGAAGCCCACGTTTACTGTCTGACTCTTTCAGCTTACCTTTTAAAAGCAGTACTTGTGAAAAGAATCAAATAATATATTTTAGTGCCTGAATTTTCACTTTTCGCAGTTTTAGATTTCTCTTTGTTAAACATACATCAGTCATATGTTCCTCCATGTTGCTAAATATATTCCATTCTTTTAATGCTCTACATTTTATTTAATTTACTGGGTTTTTTTTCCTTAGGTTTTAAAAATATTTAAACATAAGCTTTAGTATATATCTATGATAGTTCCACTGCATCGTTTTCTGGATGTACAGCTACCCTGTACACTTTCTGACCAGCTTTTTTAATTCATTCTTCTCTAATAGTTTACATCCCAACAGAAGTGTCCCCCACCTCCTCTTCTCTGAGTTCTTCCCTCAAATCCCTTCTCCCCAAGAACTGTTGTTCCTCCATTTCTCTTCATTAATGGGCTATCAGAGATATCAACCAGACATGGCATAATCATATCCAGGCTGGACCAGGCAAACTGGTAAGAGGAAAAGGGTCCCGAGAGCAGGCAAAAGAGTCCGAGACGGCCCCACTCCCACTGTTCGGAGACCAATAAGACCAACAAGCTTCTTAGCCATATATGCAGAAGACCAAGATAAGGCCCATGCAGGATTCCTGGTCATCGGTTCAGTCTCTGTGAGCCCCTATGAGCCCAGGTTAATAGATTCTGTGGACTGTGTTCTTGTAGTATCATTGACCCCTCTGTTTCCTACAGTCTGTCCTCATCTTCTGCTGCAGGATTCCCTGAGCTCTGCAAAACATTTGGCTGTGCGTGTCTGTATCTGCCCCCCATCAGTTGCTAGATGAAGCCTCTCTGATGACAACTATGCTAGATTCTGGTCTGCAAGTATAGCAGAATGTCATTAAGTAATATTTTCACTGACATTTTTTTTTTTTGCCAGTTGTGTTTAGTGAAATGCGCCCCCCCTCCCCCAATTCCAGTTGTTCCTCTCAAGTACTCTCTGGCTTCCTAAAGTTGGTTTTAAGGCTATTTTCTTGTGCTTCAGCTGTGTTGGAATATTCGTGGATTGCTATAGTAGGATATCTGGGCTCTGCTGGTGCCATAATGACCTAGCTGTTGTTGAATGTGTTCTTACACTAGAATCTAGATTTCTGGGCTTGGGATGAATAAAGATGTAGGTGCTGATTTCTGAGTTTGTGTTTGTTGGATGTGTGTTTTGTTTCCTTGTTTCTGTTTCCTGATTGGCCCTCTGGTCCTTGTTGTCTGTATTTCTGCTGGCCAGTTTGACCTCTGGTTCATCAGGGAGTCTCCATGAGAGTTGCAGCTAGAATAGCTTTTGGTTCATCAGGGGCCTCTGTTCTTCCTAGTGGTTATGGCATGCGCCTGAAGAGCAGATAAGAGCCCATGCAGAGGGAAAAGGCACAGTCTCCTAAAAATTTTCTTAAGAAACTATATAATCAGTTCTCGTATTGATCTTGTCTTATTCCCTCGATCAATGATAGGTTCCCTTGTCATTGTCCTTGCTGACAGTTGTCATAGGAAGTGACTGTCCACACAGAGGCCCTGGTGATGTGACTATCCACACAGAGGGCCTGGTGAGGTAACCGTTGACACAGAGGCCATGGTGAGGTGACTGTCCACACAGAGGGCCTGGTCAGGTGACCATCGACACAGAGGTGATATGACTGTCCACACAGAGTCCATGGTGAGGTAACTATCCACACAGAGGCCCTGGTGAGGTGACCATCCACACAAAGGCCTGATCAGGTGACTGTCCACACAGAGGCCCTGTTCAGATGACCGTCCACACAGAGGCCCTGGTGAGGTGACTGTCCACAAGAGGCTATGGTGAGGTGACCGTCCACACAGAGGACCTGGTCAGGTGACTGTCCACTAAGAAGCCCTGGTGAACTGAGGACCAAGCATGCTGTATCTTATTGTGCCACTCTGTTGAGATAGGGAGCTTCGGGGCTGCATCCCTGGCACCCGGCTGCCCGCACGGCTAGCTTTACCCGAAATAATTACACGGAAACTGTATTCTTTTAAACACTGCCTGGCCCATTAGTTTCAGCTTCTTAACCCATTTCTAATAATCTATGTAGCACCACGAGGTGCGCTTACCAGGAAAGATCTTAACCTGCGTCTGTCTGGAGTGGGAGAACCATGGCGAATCCTCAACTAAGCTTCTTTCTCTCAGCATTCTGTTCCATTTACTCCACCCACCTAAGGGTTGGCCTATCAAGGGGCCTAGGCAGTTTCTTTATTAATAAGAAATCACTCCCACATCATTTCCCCTTTTTCTGTTTAAACAAAAAAGGAAGGCTTTCATTTTAACATAGTAAAATTACATATAGCAAAACAGTTATCAAGCAAGAATTACAGTTACAATATATCTATTTTATCTTTTATCATAACTAAGGAAAACTATAACTATCTATTCATTCTTCAACTCCATCAAAGACTCCAGAAGGATATAATATTACCTAAGCAAATAAGAAATAAACGACAGAGATATCTTGCTGCCTGGACAGTCACCCAAAGTTCCTCTGTACCGTTGGGGCATCCATCTTCGGCCTACAGGCTCATAGTATCCAGAAGACACCTCCACGAAGCAGGAAATTTCAAAGACAATTCAGTTACTTTCTGCTGTGTCCTGCAGAATGTCTCGCAGACTCTTTCATGAAACAGGAACCCCAAAAGATCATCTCACCTTTAGGCAAGTTCAGCAGTCCTCTCTCTGCGGGTTCTCTGTGTACAGTTTATACATCAGTCCAGGCAAGAGCAGTTTCTTGCCCAAATGGCTATCAAACTCCATAAGGAGCCTCTTCGATGCCCATCTTCCTCTTGAAGTAGATTGGTGCTGCCAGGAGCAGACGTGTCTCATTGCCATGCTCTCCAGCCACTCATCAACTTATGCCCAAAGGACTTGACATCCTCCTTCACAGATGTCTGCTCAGTGTGATAGGGGTTGTGCTAAAAACACAGATCAAACATAAAACTGCTTCCTAAAAACACAGAAATTTCCAGTCCGTGAATATGCAACATCTCATTTATTTAGATTTCCTATACAACTTCTCACTATTATTTTTATTTCTCGTCTATAAAATTTCTCATCTACTAAATGTGTTTAATTTTTTTATTCTGTTTGAGCTAATTGTGAAGAGTTTTCTTAATTGTTGTTTTGAAAATCTGTTGACATGATGTAGAATTGATATTTGGCCTCACACATTTACTTTTCTTACGATTTTATTTAATACTCATGATTTCGTACATGCAAAATTATGCCATCTGCCAATAAAGTATTTACTATTCCTATTTCAATTTACATGTTCAGTGTTTGGTAGAGCTACACCGAATTTTCTGTGTGATCCTAAATACAGTAGTTAGGGCAGGCATCCTTGTTCTACCCTGACATCTAAGGAACACATTTATTCTTTCACAATGACAATGTTACAAATAGGAAATGTGCAAGCATCTTCCTATTTTTCCCTTGGGATTTTTGTTTGTTTCCTATTTGTTTTTCTGTCATTTTGTCTTGTGCTGTATGAGAGAGGGTCTTATGTAACTATGGCTTGCCTTGGACTCACTTGGTAGTTGGAGGATGGTCTCCTGTCCCTGTTGTACTAGGACAATAGGAACATACCATACCTATGTGAATTATACCTGAGTCTTCACTTCTAGTTTAGTTTAAGGTCTTTATTATGAATGTATTCAGCATTTTGCCCAAGATATTGACTAGGTATAGTGAGGCAAGCATGTGTTCTTTGTTCTTTACTATCCATAAGACACATATTAACTGATTTCTGGATTATAAAATACATGACATTCATAGAATAATTTCCATTTGTTATAATGTGTGATTATTTTATATGTCATGATTTAGCTTGTTTGTTAAGTATTTTAATGTCATGTTCCAGGATTGTTCTATGTATATATTTTCATGTAATGTCTTTGAATAGCTTTATATTTATATTTGTCTAAGACTTCTATCTAAATTGCCGGTGATGGGCCACAAGTTCAACTCAAGTGACTTTCAGCTACCTCTAAAAATGTAAAAAACACATTGGTTTATAAATTGGGGAGAAATTGCTCAAGTAAGTTTTAAATTTTCTGGTTTCTTACCTGTGTTATATATCTGGGTTATCTTCTTCAGACTAGATATTCAAGATGGCTTAGACTCTGCCTGGTCTATGCTTTCTATATTCCAAGACTCCATTTACCCAAAAGCATGGCGAGAGTTTGTTAACTATGACTGATCTAGTTATAAGTGGCCTAACAATACCTAGAGAATCTTCAGATTTCCTATTTGCTCCATTCCATAGCAACAATGCCTCTGGTTTTTATGGTTCATTCTGCCCCATTAAAGTCACGTGACAGCTGAGCTTGGTACAGAAGTAGTCCAGAAAGGCAAAGTAGAGTTCTGCTGTTCTTCCTCTCAGGCCAGTAATTTCTCTGGAATGTATACTTCTCTCTTTGATGTATGATTTACTCAACTTCCAAATGCTGAAGTTGTCAATAATTTATAATTTTTTTAGTTTATAGTTCACTCATTAAGAGAAGTTTTTGTTTTATAGCTTTCTATATAATATTTCAGCATTCAAAAGTTTTCTTTATATGATTTGTGGTGGTATTTTTTATTTTCCATTAGATGTTAAGGACAAGAGCATGAAATCATTATGAATTGATGAGGTTGGACATATAATACATATAGCTATAATTTGTGATAGTGAGTTATAACAGAGAGCATAGAGTTTGCATTGTAACTGTGATAAATTGGCATCATTTGATATTTGACGGTTTTAATAGTAGGCTCAAATATAAAACTCTCATAATAAACACAAAGGAAATATCAGTAGAATATAGATAAGTAGAAATAAAAGTAAATCAAATTATGTCACTGTCATAAAATAAACATGAACTAAAGTAAAAATACAGGAAGCAATAGTCAAAACCTATAAAGTATGCAGAAAACAAACAACAAAGTGGCAATATGATTCTTTTAAAGGCTATTTCCTTGACAGTAAATAGATTAAACTTACCAATCAGACACCATTAGCAAAGAGTATTTGCTAATGTGCTTTCTAAGTGTTTAGATTAGCTCCAAAGACCCAACTAAGTTGAAAATAAAAAGATTGCAAAAAGTTCATATAGTAACCAAGAGATGGCAAAAGTAATTAATAATAAGTAACACAAAGCAAAATCTGTATATATAGTGAGAGAATTCACCAAGAATATGTAATTATTATAAACACGTTTGGGCTAAAAATCAGAGCCCTTAAGTATATGAAATAATCATTGTTGGAATTAATAAATAGTCAAAGACTTCAATGTGTCATTTTCAATGTCAGAATAACTAGAAACGTGACCACCAAGGAAATACAGGACAAAAACAGCAATTAAACATAAAAAACCTACAGACCCTCACAAGCAAAAAAAAACAGAGCACACATTATTTTTCTTCCTCAGATGATCAGGGATGACCCAGCAAGATGGAACAGAAAATAAAAGAAAAAAAAAACCTCCAGTTATAATATATGTTGACACACTATTAAAAATACCATAGTACCTTGGGATTTTAAGTCACTTACAGAATTGGTTTTGACTGTACAGTGTTGCTATATTTAAATAAAACACAAAAGATCAAATTACAGAAATTTGACCTGATGTAAGACTCCCATAAACAATAGTATCTTGTGTTCTATTGAAATACACTTTTGTATGCCTAAAAAGAAAGCTGCAGACATAATAATCCTCACTGTACTCCAGCAGAATGAGCCAAGAGGTAGCAGAACAGTAGTTCCGGGTATCAACAACTTGCGCCCAGAAACAGCAGTGTTCAGAGAACTCCGAAAGCTGGAGAAAAGTCACGGTGCCCTGTTCCTTCAAACGAACCCAGTAAATTCCTGGGAATAGGATGGAATTCTTAGAATCTTAAGGAAAGTTAATGCCTACTTTGTGAGAACAAAACAGAGATTCCAAATGCATCCTGCAGCAGAATTCCTTCCTTTCTTCACTTTCTCTAAAACTTCTATGAATTATTTAATGATTCCTCTAATAATAAAAATTGTATAAAGTTAGTACTGTAGTCTTTGGTGGATGGCAGCCCCCTTGGTGCTGGTTTGGTTTATGCTCATGTTAACTATTTCTATGACCATGGACTGAATTTTAAAGTCCTAAACCTGAAGTGTAAACTATAAATTTATATGACTTAAAATATTATTTATTTTATGTTTTGAAATTCCACTTAATGTTGCATTAAAGTAAGTTTTTCATTAGTTAGGGTATTTTAGAGCCGCTTTTTAGTTCTGTTCGGCTTTCGGTAGCTAAGCCACTAAGACAGACTCAGAGTAGATGGGGTAAGCATCTCTCATTTGTGGTGTAGTGAATGGAGATATCCTTGAAACCACTGAATCCCACACAATAAGAGACAAAAAGGTAGGGGTGAGGGAGAAAGAGCAGGGGATGAGAAGGAAGAAAGAGAAAAGAGGAAGAAGAAAGAGGGAGAGAGGCAGGCAGGAAACAAGGAAGGAAGAAAAAAGGACAGGAAGCAGGAAGGGAGTGCGTTTATAATTATCACACTGGAACTGGAAGGGTGTGTTATATTAGGATATACCTTTGTTTAGAAGTGACGGAAAGGTTCGCTGATTTAGTATAATTAGTTGTATAACACTTGAACTGTGCAGATGCTGGCCAAAATGTGACTTTCGAAAAATGAAGTGAGAAAGGGGCAGGATTTCCAGAGTGTAGAGCTTAGAGAATAGTACTTCCACTACCAAGTAATAAAAATTCAATTAAATGAATAGGCGATTGTGACTTCATTAGAGATTAAGACCTGCTTTCTTGTATTACATTTTGTACAAAAGCCTTTGATGTTTGTCACAAAAACCACACGTCCTCACTTGTTTTTAGTTCATGAAGGAACGGTACACCAACTTAGGCTGCAACGGTTCAGAATCATAATTATTTATGGGTAATCTAGAACAATCTGGTTATGGAGTAAAGAACCAGGAATAAGTTATTCATAACCTGGAACAATATTCTTGTGCCACAAACAATACTCAGTGAGGAGTTAAATTTGGAAGTGAAGAGTAACCATAGGTTATGGTTTTAATGCTACAGGAAGTTGTATCTGCATTGGGATTATATTTGTCCGGTTTACAATAGCCATGACTATATTTCTGGTAGTAAATTGTTCTTTGTTTCATAGTTAAATTGTTTACTCTAGAGTTTTTCTTAACATATTCTTTTGTAATTTAAAATTAACATATGTGTGTGTGTGTGGTTTCATTTGGGAACATTTACTATTTGAATGAATATAACAAACTTTGAGAAAGCATTCAATGATAATCTAATCACTGTAGATTATTCTTAAGTGCCAATAACCTTAAGTATTATTATTATTATCTATTTGGGCATCCAAATAATGTAATTTTGTTATTGATGTCAAGTTTCTACTCTTAGAGTTGGCTTCTGAGTATTTAATCCATTCTTTCTGTAACCTACTTTTGAAAGATATTTGCTTCTTTAGTGATTACTAACCGTTCGCTATTTTTTAAATGTAGGCAATGGGCTAGGAATTAGAATTGTTGGTGGTAAAGAAATCCCTGGCCATGGTGGAGAAATTGGAGCCTATATTGCTAAGATTCTTCCGGGTGGAAGTGCAGAACACACGGGAAAACTTATAGAAGGTAAGAATTAGAAATTTGGTAATAGAATATAATAAATGTACTCATATTAAATTGTTTTATTTGTGTGAAAATTATTGTGCAAATTTGTTTACATTTGTATCAGAAAATCTTGTAATCAATGTTGGTGAAATTTTGGTATGGTAATGTTATACTACGATATAATGGAAAAGTGTATTCACAATAAGATAATTTTACTTTGCTCACATTGTTCTTTTGTCAGTTTACTAGCTGCTGGTTGCTTTATTTAAAAACACAGTTAGTCAAGATTTTTGCTGATGTGTAATTTTAAAATCTTTAATAATCTAATTTAATATTTTATGATGAAAAGGTAAAGTTAGATGGAAAGCGGCTATGAAAATGTAAAACAAAATCCAGCGGAAGCTAAGGTCAGGTCTCTAGCTACAGATGGCTCACAAGCCTCATCCATCTGCCACCTGTTCTGTCCACAATGTATCCTGGAGCACAGCCAGGATTACTAACTTACGCAGGCGCATGCATGCTTTCCTGCAGCAATAGCAAGGACAGAGACTCTATGGTCAGTGACATCCGCAATATCCACTTGTGGTACTGTTTACTTTTAGATACTATTCACCTCCCTGTGGACAATTTAAAATAACATGTATTTCACCATCTTTACACAGTAAATTATAAATCCATTTATTATGATAGTGTTTTTTCTTTGAGATAATGTAACCATTCTGAATACAAATTCTGTAACATATACATGCAATACTCATTAGCTATATATACATGTATGTATATATAGCTATATATACATATAGCTCACTATCTTCAAGTGATATTTTTATAATAATCATCTGTTTATCACAAAAATATTTACAACCTTTCTGCTTTATGGTTTCACTTTTTGATTTAAATTCTTCCTGCTATTGCTTGCAGTCTTTAGCTCCTTTAGAACTGATTCTCTGGCATTTTAAGTGAAATGCATTAGAACCTACACTCGTGGGTCTTGAGTATTTTAATAAGTTATTATTATAGAATTTACAGAGACCATACACAGTGTTTATCCACCGAAGTTTGTGCTTGGGCCACTGGTACTGTTAAGTGAAGCAGCCAGTGTACATCCCCTCCAGATCCAAATTCAGACCTCACAACATGTCTTTCAGGACATGCTTTGGTCATGATAGGGTTATTTAATGTGGAAAGAGACAAATGTTATTAATTCATTCCCTCTCTTGACTTGCTTTTATAAGGCCTTTATTTAGTCTTTCTCTCTTTCTCTTTGTGTATCTAGGTTTTGATATTTTGTTCGTCAGTAGTTATATACCTGTATGTCTAATTCATACATGGTATCTTGCATTTCTGTATAAACTTCTCTGAGAATACACCAGGTCTCAAAAAATTGTGGAGCAATTGTAGTGCAACTTTGATTTTTATTTTTTGTATAAAGCATTACTCTAATATTACCAAACATGTAACACTAGAGGTTCTGTTCTCATTTAATGTTAAAAAGATTTTATTATGGATGGCTCAGTGGTTAAGAGCATTGCCTGCTCTTCCAAAGGTCCTGAGTTCAATTCCCAGCAACCATGGTGGCTCACAACCATCTGTAATGAGATCCGGTACCCTCTTCTGGCATGCAGGCATACACGCAGACAGGATATTGTATACGTAATAAATAAATAAATAAATATTTTAAAAAATACTTTATTACATCGTTGAAACATTGTTCAAGGCAATGAGAGTAATTTTTTACCATTTTAAATTTTCATTTTTAAGGAACAATGTATGTGTGAAAAATGGTTCCATAGGCAGTAGGCGACATATTTGTTTATTGTATTTATTTATGTCATTTAATTTCTTTGGTTAATGTGTTCAGTATCGACTTAAGAATTGCCCATCTCTTTTAGATTGTGGCTCTCTGTATTTCTGAATATCAAAGTGTATATTGTGAGCCTTTGTAGAACTGATATCATCTTTCACATGTGTTATGAGTGCAGTTTGTTCACAATATGTGCTGTAAAACTGAATTTTTCGGGGCTGGAGAGATGGCTCAGTGGTTAAGAGCATTGCCTGCTCTTCCAAAGGACCTGAGTTCAATTCCCAGCACCCACATGGTGGCTCACAACAATCTGTAATGAGGTCTAGCGCCCTCTTCTGGCCTTCAGGCACACACAGACAGAATATTGTATACATAATAAATAAATATTAAAAAAAAAGAAATAAGAATTTTTAAAAAAAACTGAATTTTTCACTTCCAACTGCAGAGTTTATATTCAGAAAAGTTTGGCAGTGTTTGTGCGCCTCTATAATTTTTAGAATTGCTCTTCCTACCATTTTCCTTGAGATCAGAATTTTAACAGGTTTTTGACCCATCAGTGCCGAGGTTTGAAATGATCACAGAGATTGGAGTTTTAACTACTGTATATTTTTTCTCTAATCTAATTTGAATAATTTCCAGATGTAGAATACATTATCAAATGTTGATAATGTTTACCTAGAAGTTCCCACTATCATTTGGTATTTTTGTGTCTAGATCATTGCTAATAAATCTTTTCGTATCACAATAGTGACCCCACCTTAATCCAAGCTTTATCTGGACTATTCTACTTGAGGATTCCAACTTTAGGAAACTTTTCATTCATAGCCTACCTCTGTTGTTCCTGCTCAAATTCCAAATTTTCCATTTCCAGAATTCCCTCAGTTTTGGTTTCATTGTCCCTTCTATTTCCACTTTCAGGTCTTGAAAAGCTTTTGCATTTTTTTTTTAATTTTGTTTTGTTTTGTTTTGTCTTCTTCAACTCTTTGTATTTTCTTGGCTTTCTTTGGGTGGGTTGTTCATCTCCTCCGCCTTTTTGTTTGTGTTTTCCTGGATTTCTTTAGAGGAATTATTCCTTTCCTCTTTAAGGGTTCTGTCACCTTCACAGGGTTGGTTTTAAGGTCCTTGTCTTGTGCTTCAGCTATACTGGAATATCCAGGGCCTTCTGTGGTAGGGTAGCTGGGCTCCAGTGGAGACACATTGCCCTGACTGTTATTGTGTTCTTTGCTGGTGTCTGGGTATCTGGGTTCGGGGTGAGTATTGGTCTAGGTGGTGATTTCTTATTTTGTCTCTGTTGGGTGGGTGTTTTATTCCTTAGTTTCTCTTTCATGTCTTATGTTCTCAGTGAGTGTGATGGCTGTGTGTTGCCTCTGATACTGGCCTGCTCAGCTAGTGTGTTGACATGGAATGCCAGCTAGTGCTAGGACTGGGGGCTGGTTTTCTGCCAGACACGGTCTGTGGTTGAGTAGGAGGTTCCTGTTTGAGTTGGGGACTAGGATACAGCGGGAGGACAGGAGCGGGTGGTCTGTGGGATCTGCAGGTCTTGGCACACAGGATGGAAGGATGCATCCGGTGTTCTGTTGCAACGCAATGGATGAGACTGAGGGATCGGGTCTGGGGTAACAGAGTCATGCTTTTATGTTCGATTGAGTGATTTTATAAGCATATACCAAGCAAAAAGTGAAAGAATAAATGGCAAGTAGCAGATGATAGAAAAATATCATCAAATTGGGCATTCCAAACATCCAGTAAAGAAAATTAGTGAAGGTAAGTTGAGAGAGCAAAAAGGGGGTAGAATCATCAACTCCAGGGGCCTCCAAACACCCCACAGAAACATGGTGGTGAAGCCGCTTAGTGCCGGAAGCTGGAGAGTCAGGTGCGGTCCCATAAAGAGTACCAGGCAGAGCAGAATATACCCCCTGGTGAGACTTCCAAATAAGTAAACAAATAGCCGCAGATAAAGATAAAAACATCAAATGAGATGCTTACACCCAGCCGAAACCAACTGGGGAAGCTCAGCTGAGGTCCCTTCAAGCTTTCTGTCCCTGAATGAGATTCCCATCGCTGAACTTCCAGCTCCTCTTTCCACAGCAGGGACTTATATGTCGTAAGACAAACAGTCTGAGCATCTGCTGGAAATGCTTCGCCTTCTTGCTGTTTTCAAGAATACAGTGTTTTTGTTCTTGAGTGTTTTGTCCTCCCTGTCCCAGCTGGGGTCGCCGGGAGCCACCCATCCTCAGATGAAGGGCATCAAAAGGCACTTTGACACAAGCGTGCTTGAGTCTGGTAGAGGAGGTAGTGCGTAACCCTGCTTCCAGAGCCAGCATCTCGGTGAGCTCAAACAGCACGTGTAGTGTATCGATATAATATATGTTATGAACAATACTCAACATGCCAAATGCATTTTAAATTTTCCTCAGAAAATCTCCCTGCTTTATTACATTCTTAAGCTGATATATGTGTACTTAATTAATAATTAAGTGAATTAGCACAAATTAGCACATACCTCACCTTACATATAACTTTTTATTGGTGATGAAATTTAAGATTTATTCAGCAAATATGGAGGACACCGTAGAGTGATTCCAATGACACTCACCATGAATGTTGGCTTCCCAAATCATTTATCCTGTAACTAGACATTTCAACACATGGACCATCTTCTCCTGTTTCCCTCTGTCTCAGTCCCCTGCCAACTCCCATTCTCCTTCTGATTTTAAGAATTATAAAAAGCCAGGTAGTGGTGGTGCACGCATTTAATTCCAGCACTCAGGAGGCAGAGACAGACAGATCTCTCTGAGTTCAAGGTCAGCCTGGTCTACAGAGTTCCAGGACTGCCAGGGCTGTTACACAGCAAAACCCTGTCTTGAAAAACTAAATAATAATAATAATAATAATAATAATAATAATAATAATAATAATAATAAAAACTATAAGAATATTAAAATCTTCCATTTAATGCTAAAGATGAATTACTAGGTTCCTTGTCAAAACCGGCTTTTCAATTACAGTTTTTCTCCTGACTCAATTATTTGGGGTTCTAAAATTATTTCTCAGAAATGTTTGCAACAGTCTTTGCATTTAATCGACCAGATAAAAGTATGTTTTCCTTTTGCTTGTGCTCAGTGGAGACGATGGCATTGCCACCCATTTAATAGCACCTGTGTTTATTAGGAAACAGTTTTCCTGAAATAAAGTGATGATATTCTGTGTTAAATCC